TAATCTTGAACCAGAACGAAATCGAGAATATAAATTCCCATTATATCATTCTGAAACTTAAACTATCAAAACACAAAATCAATCCTTGCACGAAGCTAGGATCGAACACACGAACTTGATCTTTGCATTTGATGTTTAATTTAAGAACGATATAAACTATGAAATTATATGAGATATGTTATCTTTATTGAATAACAGTCTTAATCCGACACTATAATTGAAGAGAACAATGAAATCATTTTGTATTAGGACAGAACAGAACAGAGGATGCTCAATTTTTTTAGTCTTGACTATTTGAAGCAGACGTAAAGACCAGATATCGAATCTATTCTCATATCTTTACTTCAAGTTCAAAATTCTTATTTCAAAACTAGAAGCTGGAATTTCTTCGTATAGAGCTTCTATGAAAAGAACTATTTGTCATTCATATGAAATACTAATAAAATGTCAATATCAAAAAACTCTATGAAATATTATTATAGAAATGTTAGAAAGTGATAGTCCTATTATTATCCAGATAAAAAAAATCACGTGGGTAATAATGTTACAAAACTTAGCAAGAATAACTAAACAAACAATTAGGAGTGGACAGTTCCAGTTCCGATAGTTCTTAAGAACTGGTCACCAGTTCAGTTCAGTACTAGACAATGAATATTAGAAGATCTCATTCTCTGATTATTTGATCAGAGAATGAGATCTTCTAATATTCATTGTCTAGTCTTGTACAATCTTCATGCGCAGGAAAAATTATGTTCTTTGACAACACTATAACAAGTCTTGACGTAGGATAGGATCATATGTTTGGAATACCTTGAAATACCTTGAAAGTTTTTCGACAATGTCTGTAGCATTGTATCAACTTTTTGAAAACCTTTTTAACAATCATCTCACATTTTTCTTTCATTTCTAGATAAAAATGTCTGAACGATTGTCTTCAGGTGCTTATATAATGCTCCTTATGGTGAATACGTTTATTGTTCTATTAGCTACTTTCTCTGTGGGATTTTATTACGGAAATTCAAAACAGCTGGATGTAGTCATGTTACGTGCAGATAAATTCAACCGTAATCGGTCGAAAATATTCCAGTATACTGAATCCAATTGCTCAAAAATCTTCGATGAATATCCGGAATTTGATATTTTTTTACAAATTGAATTATGTCAAAATTATGACATGTCATTAAAAATAGGTAAAATTGTTGTGATGTTATCATCATTATATGATACTTATCTTCCATATGGGTTATATGGTCCACCACTTTTGCCTGTCATAATCATGGGAATCACATCATTCTTTTTATTTTATGCAAACTTGATCAATGACCAATGGACGATGCAAATACTTGAACTAACATTAATTATTGCTGGCTTTGGTATGATCATTGGTCAATATGTAGTACCTAACTTTGACACATATTTGAAAAATAAATATTTAAAAGTAAAAAGATGGTTGTTAAATGATCGTATTTACGATAATATACATCTCGTCGAAGCAAGACGTGGAGAATGATGATATTTTCGTCAGATGATACTTTCGTCATAGTCAGATGTTTTTTTTTTATTTTGTTGTTTTTCCGCTTGTTTGTTTGTTTTTTTGCGTCACTTCATCTTTTTTAATCCTGTCGAAACTCGACTTTTGCGCTGATGGGATAATGAATAACAAAACTTTCTGATTCAGGAAATGATACATTTCTCTAGTTTTCTTTTTATTAGAGGTTAATCGCCTGCTGATGTTAAAGTTAATTATGTTCGTATAGCTAGTTCATTGGACATGTATGGTGTAGAATTACACAAAACATCTGTCACAGTAAATATTCTAACAATTAAATATTTATTTTATTCATTAATCTAGTTAGGTATCAAATACATCTAATAGTATTTATAATTCAATAATTGAATCATATGCTAGTGTTTGTTCTATTGGAATACCTGTCTTTCAAAATTCGACTGAAATTAATATATTTTCTTGGTAAAAGAATAACAAATAAATTCCGAGGAATTTTTATTTTTTATACATAGAGATCAAATAACAAATATCTTTTAAACATCGAACATTTTATGTTCAACTTGTTAAAAAATCTCGTAAGTATTTATTTACATATTGAGAAAATGGATTGAAGATGATAGACCGACATTTTTACTTATTATAGTAAATCTGTTGTCTAACATCATCTTTGCATTTAAAAGTAGGAAAAGTGCAAATACTTCGCACTTTTACTTACAATGTAAAAACATGAATTTCGTTAATAAGATTTTTCTACCTCTGATGGATTTTAAAAAGCTAACGTAATATCAACTGACTAAGAATTATGGGTGCACATCTCTAAATAGTGAAGCTCGTTCGACTCAATATTATGGCTGCCAATAGTTCTCTATGGCATTAAGAAAAATCTATTTGGAGTTCAGACTCAGGACATATTGGCACTTCGCCGAGTTTCATTCATCCAATTCATCCTTAGGCTTCTTTTAAGAATTTCTTTTAACCCACTAGGTCTTATACATTTTTGAATGATCTTATTTTTTTAATATATTTTATGCTGGCAAATGGCTATTCTGTGACCGAGTTTTCTTTTTTAAATATCGATATCAATCGAATAATTGAAAGTGATCGATGGGTTAATTGTAGACAGAGTATATAACTCAATTTGTGGATAGAACATCGTGAGAAATTGAAACACATAATAATCACTACAGCATTAGAAGTAACTGTTAAAATTTCGAAGAAAAAGAAAGACACTTTCAAGTACACTTCGTGAGTATCTGTACTTTTACTATTTACTTTGAAAAAGTACGCAAATAATATCGCCCAAGCTCTGTTTAATTTTGCGCGTATTTTTTAAATATTATTCGTGAGAATAATTATTTTTCTTTAGAATTCATCAGATGATAATTCAAATGTATTTACATTGCGTAATTATCGTTTCGGTAAATATTTATTGAAATCATGTGTTGATCATCATACATTCTTTCGTTTAACATCAATTCCATCGTCATCAAAACAAATTTTTCAACTGACTAATAAATTTCGAAATAGGTAAATTTCTTTTTATAAAAAGAATATCGGATTTACTCGGATTTCTTTTAGTATTGATATTCTACCAAATGGATTATTAATGGAAACAAATGAGAAAACACAAAACACATTTCAAAGGTTAGATAAATGTTTTTTGAAAACTATCAGCGAAAACGTTTACTTAATCCAATATCAAGTGGTTTATATGAATGTAACTCAAAATGTTCATGTCATCATGATTTTGTTCAAATCGTCTTGTACAACAAGGTTTATTTGTACAATTACAATTATTTAAAGATAAATCTAAAGGTTAAGGTTTACGTACATTACATGATTTACCATGTGGAACATTGATATATGAATATATTATAAAATTATTAACCTCAGATCAAGGACATGAACGTGCTCAAACTATGGATGATAAATATCAGACAAGTCTTGATTTAGTTAAACAAGTTCGTTATGAAATTAATAATGAAGATGGAAATGAAGTTGACGGTGTTGATGAACCATATGTTATTGATGGAAGTTTGTATAGTAATTTAGGAAAATATTTTAATCATTCGTGTGATCCAAATATATTTATTCAAAATGTATTTATCGAGTCACATGATCTTCATTTTCCAAATCTTGCTTGATTCACTCGAACACATGTTAAAGCTAATCAAGGTATATTTGTCTTTGTATTTTTGAGAAAATATCAGCTAAAACTAGAAAATGATGTATGAGAATGATACTTTTGTTCTGGTGGTATATTATCTTAATGTATAAATCTGATTCATCTTCTTGCAGAGATATCAAAGTCTAATGAACAAAATATTACGAGCTTTTAATAGATAAAATAAGGGATACATATGCTAGAAAGTTCAAGCCTTAAATACTTAGTGATGATATTTTCATGTCGAAAGTATCTAACTCTCGATCCAGGAGGCCAAAAGCATGCATTCTTTCACTGTCATATCGATCTGATTGTAGTTAAAATATACTGTATTACGCCGTAAAATTTATATGGTAGAGATGAGTCATCGATCTTATGAGATCTTGTAAGATCTTATATAGTTTTGTGACAAAAAAATATATAAAAGTCAACAATGTCTGATACAAGATTTTGTAAGATCTTACAAGATCATATAAATTCTTGTCATAAGATCTTACAAGACCTTGTCACTTCTCATAATCAGATCTTGGGGGATCTTATAACAAGAAGGTACAAGATTCCATAAGATCTTATATTATCTTATAATAAGATCCTGTATTGATTGTATGATTAGCCAAAAGTAGCCCCAATCATAATTTTATTTTTTATTTAATGTCATATCAAAAGTTGCACAATGTGTTGTCGCGAGAAGTTAGTGGATGATAGGGATATTTTTCACACACGGGAAAAATGAAACAGGAATATGAAGTTCGAAAGCATTACGGAAACGGGAAAGAAGAAAAGTCGTTCCCGCAGGACACTAGTGGAAAGTGTACTCCAATGTGCAAATCTGTATAGTTTATGCGCATATACCTATGTAGGTTTATCCGAAAACAATCTTCGATTTTTGTTCAGTTTTAACACTACAAATAGACATATAACTATAGTATATAAACTCTCGTACAGCTAATTCATTTCCTATTAAAGTAAGTAATATTTGTTCGTAATATTAAGGCTAATAATAGGCATAAGGCTTTAATTCCAAAATCTGGTCTTATTATTCCACGTAGTTAGGCTTCTAGTTTGAAATAAAACTAACTCGAGATCTCGCGATCTAGAAGTATATAGAAAAAGTGTCACACTGGGCATGTCGACAAAAGCGTGTTTTGAGAAAATGCAAAAAAAGTCTTTTGACATATTTTTGCTAGTCCTAAGAAGTCCTTTCAAAAGCCTCCGTGAAATCCACATCATACTTTTCGGAGGTGTCACGTATTCGTATAGATATCATGCATGCACCGGTGGATGCAGCTCGATGATTTATAGACAATGTGTTTATGTTTTCATGCTCAATACACACATAGCTTCATATAGTGGTTTTCCAAACTAATTCTCGATGAACTCAACGAATTCTCAATATAAGACATGAAACATTGTCAACAATATACATAACCACATCCTTATAAGGTAAAGAACCTCACTCGCTAATGTGTTTGAATCTATATGCATTAATTATCAGCTGAAAGTTCTATTTCACATTTCGCATGCAAGGTTGTATAATTGTTATTAATCGCTTCGATTTCATTTTGAATATCAGCAACTTCTCTATGAAGGGAAACATCATCAGCAAAAAGGAAAGTTAAGCTATCAATTCCTTCAGGCAGATCGTTAATATAGATCAGGAAAAGAATAGACCCCAAGACTGAACCCTTGGGTACACTACAAAAGCAGGTAACTCCTTCCACCCATAGGTTGCAGGATACAAATACATTTTGTATTCATTTTTCTGTTTTATGTATTGATGTATTGGAAGCAGAATACGTAATACTTGAAAACGAATACAACAAAATTTATGGATGCATTCATGTCTTTCTCTTATGATAATGAGCGAAGATTAGCGGAAGAAGCGAATAAGAGTTGATGCGTGCGAATTCATTTTGCATTGTTTTTCTAGTCGAGAGAGGTCATAAATATTTTTTTATACCAAAATTTTGTTTGGAGTTTTTGCACAGTAAGTCTTCCTCTAACTGCTCTGATCAAAACCTCATCCGGAGCTGCTCCAGAGCACTTCCTTCAGTAATCCTACGGTAACACCAGTTAAAATGACTCGTATGTGTAGATGCATCTAATTCACAATTTGGCTCACTAATTGCAGATTCGTTCATATAATTCAATTACGGGTTTGTACCATATGCATCGCCGCGCTCAGCTGAATCACTCTGCATTCCATCACTGACTGTCATTGCATTATTAATTCGTCTAAAACCCGAGTTCACAGTTTGTCCTGCAGCAGAGGGAGCCAGAAGTGGATGACGGTATATATCTTCTATTCTCTAATGATGCTATATTTATGCTTCTATTCTCCACATATAAAAGTAATTTTTTCTAGAACAATGGAAATTCTATTCTTCTGGATGTATAAGTAAATGTTGTCCTGAAACTCAGTCACGTATGTGTTTTTCCTATGAAATGTGGGTAGAATACGAGGAACACGTGGTCAGGTAGCAGACCCCTGTCGGATCTAGTGCTAAATTTTTTTTTATCCAAAAAAAAGTGCAAGTCTAAATGGTATTCTACTGCTTACTATCCTATTACTTTATCATGTACCAAAGACTCAGTATTGTATACATAGCTCAGCAGTTACACCTGTTAAAGCATTCTTCTATTTTACATGACATTAGAAAGCTCTATGTATCTCTTAGAAGGATATACAAACTGATAATTTCCGTGAAATAGAATTTCGCTTATCTATGCTACCCTTCGGTTCCTGAGAATGTCTTAGAAAATGACGTTGCAAATTGTACCCTCACTCGCGTAGTATGATTCGAAATGTGTAATCAAAAGCTCGTTTAGCAGATAAATGATGTTTATCAACAATGATCTTCATACCGGTTTCCTTAGTTGATCAATGTCTTATTACAGACTAATAAATGAAATACAGAATAAATGACATCAGTTTCCTCTGGGTAAAACAGAAAAAGTTCAGCCCGCATCCGACAACTTCGTACTCGTATCCAACGTTCTGATCGAGTCGAGCTGATAGCATCAACTCCATAAGCTTTCAGATGAAAGTAGCTTTCGAGATATGGTGGCGTCAGTATCTGATGCATGTTTTAGGGCTTCCAGCAAAACTTTCATAACTCTTAATTGGGAACATCATTTAGAGCTGGAAGATATCTGATTTTGATCAGAAATGTTTGCTCTATTCCTAGAATTCTTTAGATTCAGTAAAATACAGAGCATTCGAATGAAATTTTAACGGACTTTTTCGTTTTTCTCCAGTAATTTCGTCACCCTTGCGTCTGCCAATATGCCATCAAATATTCTGATATACAGTTCGGTGTGAGAAAGTTATAGTCTTCCAGCGGACGTTTAATCAATATCGTCTGTGCTTCATTGATCAACCGCGGCTAACGGAGTGTCTATTCTGTGGGACATTTGAGGCGCAACGCCGTAAGATGGTACGCTTTTTGTTGCAGAAATGAATCTTTTAGGAGGTACACTGAGTGATCGAACCTTCGATGTGGTACAAAATGTCTCACATATTCGGGTGGAGATAGACGTCCCTAATGTCCGGGTAAGAGTAGGTCAGATGATACAGTGGCTACGTAATATGCTCAAAAGATACTTACTAATGATTTACAAGACAAAAAGTTAAAGTTTCAATGAGCATATGGGACGTATAAATGTGAAATTTTTTAGGACAGACTGTACTTTTTTAGAGTGAAACTTCCTCCACAAAAATATTCTCGAAACATTTGTTATTTTATGGTGACAGTACCAGCAATCATCTCAATTTTTTATTCATAATCATATTTGAAGGTTATCAATTAAAACCTAGTAAACTGAAACCGAAAAGAAAGTAAAGGGCCCAAAAAGCCCAGAGTAACAATTGTCGACATAATGTGCCAGCAGATTGTAGAAAAAGAAAGCATTAGGACTATTTTCCAAACAGTTTTTGTCTCGAAAATGAGACTATGGTAGACGGGCTATCTAATAGCGTAAAATTTTTTGTTTCGAACGAGGAATTTACGGTAAAACATGTTGCAGAAAAAATACCTCGTATATCCGTGACTTCTATATAAAATCAATTTTTTATGGAACTGAATTATGTTTAAATTTTCGAAACGTGTTATTTGGAAGCACGACGCTTCTAGCTATCTATTGGTTAAAAGAAATTCATCTCAGATGAAGTCTTTTAGCGAACAGTTTTTTTTCCAAAGGAGGCGATTTTTTCCGAGAACTATATTTAGTGTAATGAGTTTCCGAAATTTTTGAAAATCCGAAGACCACCCGGCAAAGGTTTAAATGCTATGCGCTTACGCAGATCGAAGATTTTTTTGTCTTTCTCATTCGATCAAATAACTCATATATATGTCTGTGCCTTAGAGCCATTATTTACCTGAGAACAAACGACTAATCTTTCATGAGAAAAAAGTACGTGCAAACTCAATTACAGTAGTTTTTCTATACTTCAGTTTTTACTTTAAATGTGCATGCCTGACATTCTTTTTGGGATCTCATTTCTGATTCTTTCGATAGTTTCGTGCTACATAGGATAAAGAACGACTTCCAACTTTATTCACCTTAAATCATAAGGGCTAGAGAGAGTCATACTCTGTCATAAAAAAGAGATAATAAAATATTCTCTCCGCTCATTTAACCCAATTAATGTCACTAAAAGATTTAGTGGTGTGTTCATAAATAGAACTAAACTTTGTTCATTCCACGCCTTTCATCGATCAGTGTAGTGGAGATGCAGCTAAGTGAAACTGTGTTGTTCTTTGTTGCAGTGGGTATCACGACTCTTGCGGCTTTATTTTGTATTATCAGCATCGTCACTCCGAGTTGGACATCTGACCCGTCCGGTTGGGTCGGTTTATTTAGCAATCCTTCACTTCAAGTGTCGGCGACGGCAGCCGTCATATCATTTCTGTTGCTTCTTGCAACAATTTTATGTTTAATATTATTGGCTGTGAAAATGTTACCGAGACCAATACGCTT